ATCAAGATCCTTAAAAGTTTTTATTACTTTCATATAAACCTCATTGGACACCCCTTCCATACTGTTTAAAATGTCCAAGCAAATAACATTTGAATAAAGATCCGGACTATTAACTTCACTATCCGATTGATTGCATGATTTCCCTTAGATCTTTGCAAGCTTTTCTTTCAGGTAAAGTGTTCTAAGTTCAGTTTCTTCATTCCTCAAACTTTGCACAGATGACCACTGTGCCATGCAGATCTCGAGTTTATCACTTTTACTCATCTTAGGTTCCTTACGTCAGCGTTTACCCGATGTACCAATTCCGTCACGTCGACGAGAAAAGGAAACCTCATCAACTTCGTCATCATTTTCCGTACGTACATGTTCTCCCCTGTTCAAGAAATCATCTTCTAGCTGCCTTTCTTCCTCTGATGTGTTTGGAAGCTGAGTGGAGGCATTGCTTAATCCTCCAGTAGCTATAGTCCCGCTAAATATCTCCCCAAGTGTGTGGTAGTGCTTACATTCTTCCTTCCTGAATATCTTGTAATCCGACTCGTTAATCTATCATTGGAAAAAGAAGACATATTGGTATAGCGTTCAACAAGAAAATGTAGAATTGATAAGATAATAAACTAATTACGAAAATATTCTTTAATAAATATATGTACCTTATAAAAGTGTTGTCATACTTCTTCTGCAGCATTAACTTTGTTGGTATTTGGATCCCATGTAACACCTGTATGTCCCAAAAGTTCAGAGAACATGCGATGAATTTTACGTAACTGGTTCCACTTTCCCTTTAATCTATCTATGCCGCAATCCATTTTCATTGCAGCTATCATGATCTCATTGATCCTGCCTCATTCGTCTTTCGTGAATGTAGAACGTTGCAATGTGTTTGATTTGACTTTCTCGTAAAGAATTTCAATAAAAGCATGTTCATTCTCATCCGACCATAATATTGGTTCCTTATTCCTAACTATGTGACCACCCATGTTGAAGCTATACTGAATATGCATAAAATTATCAGGTTATATTAATGTATTTAATTATAATCATATATCACCAATTGGTATGTAAAATAGATTAATGTATTTAATTATAAT